TTTTAGCTTGAATTTTGTTGCTGTTTCCTGAAAATAACTTGGAGATGCTCCTGAGTTGTCCCATCGACTGCTTTTGATTCCTTGGATCCCACCCATTCTTTCACTTTAAGAAAAACAAGTCATTGTTACAGAGGTCTCTGTATTTTACAGCTGCCCTTTTGTAAGAAGCACTTTCCCAAATAAAACAATAAAAAACCCTAAGTTGTCTTTTCTGTCTTGTGTAATGAGCTGGTCGAAATAGTGTTTTTCTTTCACTGACTCTTTGATCAGTTCATCAGTGAGTCAAATTTCTGTGGATACAGTGACATCTTTCCTAAGACATCTTAGCCCGCTGAGAAATGTGTGAGAGGAGAACCTTGCCAACAGGATCATCAAACTAGTCTGTATTTTAGAATTTGTAAGACTAGCTATTAGGCCACCACAGGCGCTGCCATACGTGAACCTGCCTCATACCTGCAGGTAACAGGTAGGTCCCGTGCTCTGCCTAATTCTATTATGAAATTTTATTAATAAAATACCTTTTTGGCATTTCTAGTTTTGATGTGTATTTAAGAATTTACGCTATTGAAAATGTTTCCACATGTAGGAGTTGTGTATATTGGCTTATTGTAGCCATAGTAACAGCTTGTGGACCCCCCAAGTAGCCTTTGTGAGATCACAGACCAGCTGCTCCCACCCAGAAATGCCAGGCATCCACCCTAAGCTGCTGCCAGGCTGGGGACCATGTGCCCCCAGGGATGCTGCGAGCCTGAGGCATGAGTGGGGCGGGGGGTGTGGGGTGTGGGGGGAGACTTCTGCTTTTTGGTGTCCAGAAAGCAAGGGAGGGACTCCGCAGGAGCCACCCTGTGAGCATATCAGTCTGGGGAGAAGGGTATAGGCGTGATGAGAGCTGCTGGCCTTTCCGTAGGTTTATGTTTGGAGCAGCTCCTTTGTGTCTTAGAAGAGGCAGTGGAAGCTGATGTTTTAGTGAATTCATAATGGGTGTTGCTCTCTTGTCACTGTGACTTCAGTGTGGTTGCCAATTGCAAAAAGGGTTGGGGGACCAACAGTGATGGGTGGAACGTCAAACTTTCTCATTTGCACACATTAACAATCTCAACCTCTTTCCTGCCACCACAAGATAAGTTATGCTTACCTCTGTGGCTATCTCCTGTGGACACATTCTTACTTAGAAGGTTGGAGGAAAAGGTGAAGCAGATCCTTGCTGAAGATTTGGGGGAGGAAGGTATTAATGCCGGAAAGGGGACCTGGCCCTTGGAAGGTCTGCCTAGAGCCAGCTGGCAGTGTGTGGGTTCTTGACGTTGTGCAGGAAAAATTTCACAGCATAAATTCAGGTGACTAATGGGGGAACATTTATTAAAGCTGGGGACATAAAACAAGGAAGGGCTTAGCATAGAAGCAGCAACAGGAGAGCCCAGGCTGGGCTGCCCCAGCTCTCTGGGAAGTCAGAGAAAAGGGGGCCTTGAGATCAGATTCAGGAGTTGGCCTGGGACAAGCTGCCGCTGCCCGTGGCTCCCCTAGTTGCAAGCCTTGTGGGGTCTAGGGTTTAGGAGATGCATGCCTTTGGGGGAAGTAGGAAGGGGAATGGTGAGTGCTGCTTCCCAGAAGGAGAGCATGTGCTGGGCCCTTTGTCCTGAGGCTTTGGGGGCTTTTTCTCTCCCTGGCTAGGGGAGGCCCAAGGGAGGCTTTCAGCAGAATAATCAGTTTTCTGGGTGTGGTCCTCCAGGGCCAGGTCTTCACTGATTGGTCAGTGTCAGGGCAGGGGCTCACCAGTCATTGACGCTGGTCCTGGTGTTGCACACCTGGTTTTGCTGCTCTTCTGGATCTGGAGCTGAAATACAACTGAGGCCTAGATAGTATTTCTAGGGAGGTGACCCATGTCTGCTGTAAATTGCTGTCTGTTCCCTCTCTGTCTCAGCTTCCCTGTTCCACCTGCCCTGGCTCACTGGCCTGTCTCAGTCGGATGCTGGTAAAGGTGTCTCTAACATCGCTTAGTGCCGTTCACCGGATTTCCAAGTCTGCTTTCCGAGGGCACCGTGTAGTTGCAGAGCCCATCGAACTTCCTTAGGCTGGTGAAATGTCAACAGAATTGATGCAGATTTTAAGAGCCAGCTCATGGCTTTCCCTCACTCTCCCCATTTCCCTGGCAATTGACCATTTCTGAGAAGGGGGCCTGGGTGCAGTGGGGTGAGGGGTAGAGCGACACTCAGCTGACCAGAGCGACAGAGGACCTGAGCATGAAATAAAGCTTGGGGTGAAAGGCCGCTGAGCTTTGGAATCTTTGTTGTCACAGTCTAACAGCCTGTCCCGTGTTGAAACCATCTGCTGAAAGACTTTTTTTTATATAAGGAAATCTAAATAATTTTTGAATACTCACTTTAATGTTTTTAGGCGCCTCTCAGATAAGTAAATT